TTTCCGGGCAACTCCGTTTGAACTATTAACACATTCAATGTTATACCAGCGCGCATGGATTTTAGTTCAAACATGTTGATACATTCGCAAAGACCGAAACTGACTTATTTCCATTTACATTTAATTCCACTGTTTAAAATTGGTTAAAACTTCAGGATGGACGATGGACGAACAACGTTGCGTCGAAAGTGACATAAAGAACGTAACAGGATTAAAGTATTCCATAAAATTTCAAATGTTACAACATCGGGCCATTGCGCGTTATTCTCGACCATTACAGCAATACGTCAAACGAATTTAACGCAAGAACCGATGCGTTTGTAGTTAATGGCATAAATTTCTAGCCAGTATGAAGCATTTTATGATTTAACGATTATTCAACGAGTAAACGAATTGTTCTCGAGCCAAATGAGAATAAAAGTAAGAAAACTAGTAAATTTCAGTATAAACGTTAAGCTTGTCAGCTTTTTGTATCCTTTTGTAACGTATAGCGTAAAAAAAAAATAGAGAAAACCAAGCGTCGTAAATTTTCTTCACTGACGTAACGTACAATCATTGTGATTGGTTCTCATTCGATGCTTTTAAGAATTTGTTGGGATAAACGCAGTTCCTACGTTAGAGGAAAATAAATAGTGCTATATATTCAAGCAAATTGTTCGATGACGAAACGAGGGAAAATTCCAATATAAAAAGACGTTTTTAAACGAAGTTATTATTATTTAACTCCTTATAATGCTACGTATTAGGTTGCGCGACAAGTTTCTTTCGTTTTATGAGGAAATAATAGACGCACAACGTTTTTTCTTTTATATCATTTTGTTCTGTTGAGATAAACACCGCGACGTTTCACAGACTTGCTTTCACGTTTGTATGAAGGTGCATTGTTGTAAAATACACGTTTGCGAAAGAAAGACACTTTCCGGACAACCTAATAATTTCAAAGTTATACATATTCAAGTACCTATACCTTATAAATTTTATCTCTTTGGTTGATATTGTAACGTCGTACTCTACCATTGCGTCATTTCTTCAATATTAGTGCGTAGAAATTAATATTCTACAAGTTCTCCATTACGCATAGAAAATTTGCATTTATTTATCGATAAGAATCAATTTTGGGAACCTTTAAGGAATTCTCTGAGCGTCGAATTGAATTGTATGTCAAGATCGATCGACCATTGGTGTTTTGCATTTCTATCAGGAAAAAGCACATGGTTAGCGTCATTTGTAAACTAAATAACGAAAAAGATAAGAAAATGTCTACGAATTTTCAGCATAGACGCAGAATTGAAACGATGAAAAGTTTGAAATATTTAATTTAAATCGCGTTCACTTCGTCGATTATCTATTCCATCAACATGAATTTCGAAAACAAACAGAAAGTCCTTCGAGCGTTAAACAAAGTGCTTCGTAATTAAATTAAAAGCCTCGAAACGCAAAAGCCAAGCTAAACTCTTTAAAAAGCATAGATAATCGTTAAATAAATATAAAATGCCTGATAATCGCTCTGCGAATAATTAACTAGCAAATTGGCTCGCTAGAAAAATTAGGTTCGTTTACCGGGAAGATCGGAAGTGAGAGTGGTTGCATAAAGGTACCGGAAGTAGGAAGACACGCGATAACTTAACAACCGAAGTTAGGATCGCGTGACTGAAAATTTCACGGGTCTGCCGTCGTGTAAAAATAATTGTTCAATTTTCTGAATCTATTCTTCCAAAATTTGTCCTTTTCCACAGCCGAGTACATATTACCGTGCAGTAGGTCAGATCCGAAGATAGACGTATGCTTTCAGAAAACTTTGAACCATCTGCAGCCGTATTTACTTAAGGGTAAGTTGAAGATTTAGTTTCGAGACTGAATTCTTTGTGTTGAATCGAAGCGAGTATTACCATTACACATCGAAGTGAATCGACTCTTTCAGAAATTAAAAGTACGCTATCGAATTGCATTAGAGCGAAGGTGTGTTGTGTAATAGATTTCTGAACATCGGTTTAATCGCTACGTATAATATTTTAGTATTTATATAACCTGTGATTAATAAGCACATGTAATTTGAAATTCTTATATAAACTAGCGGCCTTTCCATCACTTTGAAAGCTTGCCTTATTCGTGTCCTTATTCCCAAATATCACTTCGTCTACCGCTTGTACTAAAACGCTAATTGAATAGAAGCTCCGTTATACCTTTTTACAGACAAACGGAATTGCGAATATAATATATGCATAAAGAGAGAGAGAGAGAGAATTAATTATTTTCATTACACAGAATTCCACTTTCTTAGGTATTCCTGATCTGGATTTACCTCCGATCGAACCACTGATCATCCCGGAATTAGGAATGGAGAACGGCCAAGGAGCCGTTCGTATTAAAGCGCTGTTCTCTAACATCACTGTCATAGGAGCGGGAAATTATACAATTTCGAAAACACGAATCGACATACAGACATATAGGCTTGATCTTCATTTGGCATTCCCAAAGATCGAACTCGAAGGCCGCTACGAAGTGGTAGGAAACGTGCTGCTCTTCCCTATTCAAAGTCATGGGGAATTTTGGGCGCTTTTTGGTGAGTCGGTTACATTTCTAAAACTCTGTTCGAAAATTTTCGAAAATTCTCTACGTAAGTTCTATTAAACACACACACACACACACACATATATCCCCGTAAAATATCCGCAAAATATTTTTTTCTTCCGTATATCCTTGGAGGATAAAGTTTGAAAAATCTGATTCTCGGATAATCCTACAAAAATCCAGGGAAATGTGTTTTCCAGGCGACGTTCAAGCCATCGCTCGTGTCCAAGGAGCAGAGGTGATCCGCGATGGGATTCGTTACTTGGAAGTGGCACGAATGCTGATCGATTTCAGCCTGGGTCGAGCACGATTCCGCGTGGTCGATCAGTTAAACGGTGACAACGTGATCGGTCAGGCGATGAATCAGTTCCTGAACCAGAACGCGAAGGAAATCATCGAAGAAATGAGACCAGCCGCCAGTGCCAGCATCGCCAAACACTTTAAGAATTTCCTTGGCAAAGCCTTGACCAAGATCCCGTTGAAAGTTTGGCTTCGTGACACGTAGTTTCTTCAGATCGTTCCTTTCTATGAACGTTATCGAAGAAAGTCGCGCTTTTTCCTTATTTTCAAGCGCGATTTGAACGTGGAACAGACGAACCGTGTTGCACGTGAAACAGAAGAATGATTGAAAATCGAAGATGGATTTCGCTGGACTAAATTCGTATGTATCGTGCATTTCTGTGCATTTTATCGTCGATGGTAGGTAAAGAAGATTAATAGAGAGAAATTTTTTGTAGGAATTATCGAGTTGTGAATACTGTTGTTGTTCGGTTAGTGTTAGGGTGGAACTTTGATTGCTTGAACCATAGTTGAAGGATAATTTATTCCAAATGCATCGTAGTGTATAGAATACAGAAGAAATTTACAAGTCATCGTCGTAATTTTGATTCATTTATTTTGATCAGTTTAATATTCTCATTACCGTTTACTTTCCTTTATTTTTCTTTTTTTTTCAAAGTTTTAAGTATTTTTTCAGGTACTTTCAACCTTTTATCGCTTTTTCGTGAAATTTTTTAATTTTCTGTTCAAGCAATCTTTGTCACACCGTATTACTTTCTGCTGCTTTTAACAAGGAAGTAAACTTATAGCGTAATATACTTATCGTTAATTTCAATATGCAATGATCTCTCGCTTAACTTTTGCGTTGTCTTATTTCCTGCTTTATATAGAGAAAGGAAAATAAATGAACTTTATCAGCGTGTTTGGATCAATAATTTATCACGCGACTGACTAAGACATTGTAGATAAGTTGTCAAAGACGAGTCACGAGATTTCAAGATAGTTAAATTTTCTGTGTACATTGTATAATAATAGCTGCCGATTTTCTGACAGTTTCTTGTTTACAAAGCTATATTATGAAAATAAGTTGACTGTATTCGTCGCGTCTTAGTTATATGAAAATATTTGTAAATCTTATATTTTCATCGTGACTGTCGCGTTTACGTTTATGGAACATATTATACTTGGTTTATATACACGTTAATACATCCTACGAACGAAACTTCTTCTAGAGTTTCAATACACTAGCTAACCAGAATTTCTTTTCCGTACGTTCCACAAATCGATCGAGAGGGTAATTTTTGATCGAACGACCAATCAAATGTTCATAATAATAATCATCTCCAAACTTCTTCTATAGGTTCGTACACCAACCAATCATATTCATTTTCTACAAGTTTCTTAAATTAATAAGACCACAAGTTTCTCCGCGTATCGCACTTACATAGAAATCAAGACAAAAATCGTCAAAGGCTTCGCTAATTCCATTTCCTTTATCCGTACGGTTAACTAGTATTTTGTTACAAAAAATAATGAATCATCGTTGTCGTAGCTGTATCAGATAAATCATATTCCCTTAGAATTCTTCGATAAAAAAAGAAAAGCTAAAAAACTCCCTTATTGCGTCCACGAATGATCGCCTAAGAAAGAGAGAAAAAAGGAAGAAAATTCCTTCGTACGTCGACCAACGATCCATTAGCACGATCATGAAGCAATTGAAACAAGAAACGAAACGTAGAGGTTGTTTAATATTGGCTGATAATGGAAATTAGAATCGTGGTAGGCTGGTAGAATGCGTATCGTTCGACCTCTGACCCTGCTTCGTTCTCCCTCTTTGTCTCTTCTGTTGCTTGCCAAAGATTGTCTTGTTGAAAAGTAACTGGTTCCTTGGATAGTCGAGTCACAAGCGTTTCGAGATCAAACCGGGAACAAACTGTTACACGTTCGCGTACGCTCGTCGTTTGCAACGACAAATCGGTGATAAGGGTGGGCCGAACGATCAACGGTCAGTCGAAGACCGATCGATTCCGACGTTGGTGGTTGCTGATGCAACGCGACGAACACGATTTGTAACGCGCGAATCGTCGAGACAGAGGATCGTGAAAGTCGTTGGTGTTGTCTTTCGAAGTTGTTGGGAAAGGAAGGCCAAGATGATGGCTCAATTCACCAAGAGGCAATGGCTCACACTGATCGTCATCAGCATCGCCGATTTCGCGAACGCGATCTGTGTATCGCTACAGGCGCCGTTCTATCCGCAGGAGGTGAGTAAAAAGACAGTAGGAAATCGAAGGAATTTCTACTTTCGTTCGAGTGGAACACGCGTGAACACAAATGTTGACCATTGTAGTTTAGTATTGTTTGTAAACAATTTGTTTGGACGCCATTTTTAAGTAAATCAAACGCATTCGTGGGTCAAAGTCAACCTTGTTGACCTTATTATCAGCGAACGAATTGAAAATAATTGTTCTTTCGAGTTGGCAATTAGTTTCTTCTTACAAAATGTTATTCCTAACCTTTGTTCAATTTGTATCGTTATCGTTAATTGATAGAACAAATAGCGAAACATTGTAGCGTACAGTTATTGAAATTATATTGCGTTTACGAGGTTACTCGAGTTTGTGCAAGATATTAAATTACGATCAATGAGTCCTGGCGAAACGATAACACCACGATCACGTTCGATGCTATTCGTGGAAGAAAGAATGCTGTGATAAATGAAAATTATCATTACAACGATGGAATGTAAATTCGTTCAACTTGTTGAGGAGCAACCTAAAACTCCCTAGAATGTTTCGCCGCTATCGAATCTGTTTTATCAAACTGTGTCGACAGAGGCGTATCGGATAGTGGAGAAACACATTTGAAAATATGCGTCAAGAAAACGCTGTAAAGATGCGAACAAGGAAAAGAAATTTTGCATACGTTGATAAGTTGTTTTGTGATCGAAAGAACGTTTTCCATAATAATCACCGCTTATCGATCCGTCTGGCTAAGGGTTAAATATCGTTGCTCGAGTACGAGTTATCAATTTACGTGGTTCATTAAGAAACATAATCGCTATCCACGCGACGCTTGCTGAAAAATCTACAATAATTCTGCACACAAGAATCACGTTGTCGCGAAACATTCAGGGACATAGTGCAAAAAAAAAAAAAAATGAAAAATATCGTCGTTTCTTACCGAGATTTTTTACCCATGTATTTCGTTGTTTACGCAGAATTGTCTTAATTAATCGCATAAAAATAGAGAAATACGAACTACGAGGATAGTCCTTCAGAATTCGCGATCGTTTATCCGACGGTACAAAAATTCAGTGAAGAAATTATCCTGATAATACACGAAGTTTGCTCGATCCGATTCAAGCGTTTGAGGGAAATTAATCTCATCGTCAGTGACAGGCTAACATAAATCGGGACGCAATTACCAATTAATGCAGCATGCATGATCTGTCGAGTCATTAATTTACTCAGTTGTGTTTGAAAAATGCGAAGAAAGAATTCCAGTTTTTGACATCGATGTTTATTCGATGAATTTTTATTATGATAATATTGTCTGAGCGTTTAATCATCGTTTAACAAAATTGCAATGTCTATTGAAATAATTTTGCGCGTACGATTCATGGAGACCGTACAAATTGTGTAACGTAAAAATGTCTCGTTGTGGCGTCGTTTACGTCAGTCAGATTTGAAAGTTTATCGATACTACAATTGTTTTCTTAATATTTATAAATAAATCTGTAACCCTGCTGGAAAACAAGTAATCTTTCTTTCATAAAGAGGAACGATGGTTTAACTCTCGTAAATTATACTACATTCTTCGTATGCTTGATAAAAAAGATTGTAAGGGAAATATGCAAAATAACAAATTGGCTGGAATATAGCGAACGTGGAAGTTTCTCTTTTGCTACACGGAAATTGTAATGTTATCTAAATTATCGAAATTGTTTTTTGAGGCCATTGGTCTATTAAAATTGTATCGTCGACAATTAAAATGTTGCAAACAAAAAAAATACTGTATTTTGATACACCATATAATCCCGTAACTATTAACTTTAAATGGCTACGATTCTATTCGAAAATAATATTAATTAAGAAAGATTGAAATATCACGAATTATTCAATTTTACAAACTTAAATACAAGAGCTTCCTTTGGTGTCCAAATATTAATTTCAAGTACTCTTTAATCTGAGGTTTACGCTCCAAACTCAACTTGACTTAACAAAATGAGACTCTTCGATATCAAAAATAAACAAAATATTAAGAAAATCCTGACGAAACTGGCCACGATCATTGCTGATGCTTACGTGATGTTACTTTTCCTAAATTCCTCCACATATCTCGTCATTTTTTGCTTATATGTTATAAAATTAAAGAAAATACAAATTTTAGATGTGAAAGTTCAAGAGATATGACGCGAATTAAAATGTTGCCTTTGATAATCACCGATAACATAAAATCCACGATTTATCTCTTAACTTGGTTGCTTCTTGGTTGAATATTATTCCAAGTATAGAATTAAATCATACAAATACAGTAATTCAACGATTATAAAAAGGAATTTATTTTTGTTCTCTGTTTTCAATGATTCAAACTGAATAGCGGCAAATGTAATTTTTGAAAAGGTAGAACAGCAACTTCCCAGTATGTAAATTGAAATGTATCATCCGATAAACGAATTGTGCGATGCACAAGTGTATCGCGCTATAATCTCAGAAATACAAAACGTAGATGCCTCGTCGGATAAACGTTTCAATCTCTTTAACTAGAGATGTTAATGACATTTTCTGATAATAAACTAATGTACGAACTTTTGTATTGCTCTTGATTTTCTGCTTAGAAATTTCCATTTCACGCAAGTCGAACAAAGCTATCGTCTATTCTCATTTTCTTCTTTGAAATCACTGAATCACCTTTATACGTTTATATAACACTAATTAGAGGAAATAATTTCGAACCGGCTTAAGAAATTTCGAAGATTAAAACGTTGAATCTGATATTAAAAAATTTCACAAGATTAAGACGTAGAAATTGTTTAAATTAAAATCTTCGTAGGTGATGTAAGATAGTTTGAAGTAACAAGAAGTAACTGTAAAAAGGATTTTCGCGATGAAACATGCGAAGCTTACGTGTAAATGATAATTCTGGAACGATAATCGGTCGTGCCACAAATAAATTAACCATGAGTTAGACGCTGCTAATTATGGAATACTGAAATAACAGTTTCGATTATTTTTTCGATGATTCACATCTCATACAGGGCGAGAGTTATCGATGACGCATACTCGTGTACTAAGCGTTTTATGTACGATTCTAGATTGAAATTATCGCAAAGATCGAAATGTTACGCACCAAAGAATAGAACAGAATGTTGCGTTTCCTACGAAACTATCCTAATTTATTTTCTAATTGTATTTGTAGAAAAAAAAATTTTTTTAACGAACTTTCTTTTCCATCTTTCTTTTCATCTTTCACATCTTAGAAGTCGTAAAAATTTGTTTATCGATTAAAATCCTACTTTCGTTTTATTACTTTAGTAAACATACTTGCTTATATGAAGATACATCGTAAACTTCAGCGTATTACAATGATGTGACTTTTGCATATTTAACGTAAATATTTACTTGTCCGTTTTTCCAGATTTCTAGTCTTGTATCGATCTATCAACTACTTTTCCAGTCCTTTTTTAAACGACATTTACCTACTGAAAAATGATCTTAGATCGAATATTCCGATACCATAAAAGGTAGAAAAAGTAATTCATAAATATTAAAAGGAAAATTGTAACTCTTTTTTAATTAAATAATTTATAGGCTAAAAAGTTACACTATTATATGTAATATATATAACGTATATCTTCCTGCCACGTATCTTTGTAATTATGCTATCCTCTATAAGTAAGAATTACTTCTCTTTGTTATCTCTTGTTATTGTTAGAGTTCTATTTTAGAATACACTGTACTCATAATGAAGGGAGATAATTCATGTTTTGATCTCTATTCCAGATTTTCAGGAAGTCTTCATTATAGTATTACCACATATGTGCGCATAATCCCACTGTACGTGTACTAAACACTTTGATTAGAATACAATCGTATGTACACAGCACAGCACGTGCAGATTCTAATTATCTCTTGCGAAGATATTAGAGAAATATGAATGGTAATTTAGATACAAGGAAGTAATTAACAACGAGCTTCGTTTTAATGACGATTAAAACATAGATACAAATGAATACAAGTTAATTCTGTCTCCAACGCTGAAGATGTTTCGCGGGTTTATAGGAATTTTATTAAAGGAGAAAATAAAATAACATTTTGCAAGTGCGCCGTTGCCTTAAGGATAAAGTTAAAGAATTGGGAAAAGTAAATTTATGAAATGGGTAAATAACATTGAAATAGAAAAATATTTATTTATAAACGTAATTTTCAACTTACAAAAGCAATATCCTTTACACAATTTCCTATCTAAGTTTCTAAATCAAACCAAGGATCTGACGCATCCTAATCACGTTATTTACTCCTGTAACACGAAATACACGATTCTTGTCGATCAACGAGTTTTTTTTCATTGTCAGAACCTCCTATCACAACGATTAACACTCTGCGAACGAAGATTTCACGAATGAAAGAGCAACAGGGCAACGTACACGCGTTTAAAAATTAACTTTGATCAGTTTCATCGACTTAGTAGGTATAATTTGTCTGTGGTAAACAAGACACCGTGTAATATGATTACATGCGATAACAGACGATTATTCGTCGAAATGGAGCACAAAAATTCGACTAAAAGTCAAACGGATCAATCCAAGCATGAAGTTTCATCAGCTTTCGTAGCCATAGCGAAATTCTCCTCGTAAGTTTCATTGAATACTGTTCCTTATCTCATTCCGATTAATTTAATAGCTACATCATCTAGAGTACAAATTTATTTAGGCTAATCATCCAAATGTACTTAAATATACTCTAAATTTGTTAATCTTAACTTCGAAGCATAAAGATTATATGTTTTTTCTGAATATTTTATCAAGCTATATTTGGGTAAAGATGATTTTGATTTGAGAAGATGTCGAAAAAGTGTAACACAAAATCGTACACGTTATATATAACTTTGAAATGTTATATACATATAATACTTTGAGATTTATTCGAATAATTTAGACATCATTATTTTTCGAGAAACTTGGAAGCTTTTCCTGGCATTCGACCATCTAAAAATTTCCAAGTCTTCGTACGATTCGTAATTTTCATTTTCTATCTTCGTGAAAAATATAGAATTTCTTGTAAAAGTTATTATTTCGAATCAAACATCAGCGACAACGAGCCTACTGTTAAAAATCCAATGACAGAAGATTTCCTTGCTTTCTGAAATCGTTTCCTATCCACGTTCGTGATTCTCTGCTGTTGTGAAGTGTCTAAAGTTTATCGGCATTTATCATGGCCAGCGTTAATTGCAGTCGAACGCGTGATAATGCGACGAAATGCGTAGCAATAACACGGAATCGTCTAACATTTCGTATTCCTTCGCGTAAAATCGAAAATTTGTATGAAAAATTGCACGCGTTTATTATACTTTGATCGATCGTAATTCATCATTTTCTTATCTGTTCATTTGCAGGCTGAGAAAAAAGGAGCATCCCCGTCAGAATATGGATTGGTCTTTGGAATTTTCGAGTTCATCGTCTTTATCATCAGCCCCGTTTATGGACAATACGTGAGTAAAATAATTATTACACCATAATTTTGTATTGATCCTTGGATAATATTTATAACAGTTAATTATTATACACCAACATATATAACAAATCTTCATTCTATTATATTTACAATTTTAGAATTTACTCTTCAAATATATTACTTTCTTTATGATGAAATCTTCTTCTTTTATTAGTTGGTGACAGAAAGTTTAGTCGATTTTTTGCGAATTTTTTAGAAATTTTACACTGATTTCATTTTTGCTATGTCAAAGAGAAAGAAACTAGATATATATATATATAGATTATACTTATAGTTGAAAAAGCATATTCAAAATGTATATGTGTATAAGAGAGACGTTGGTTCAAAAAATTGACAAGGATTGAAAAAAGAACAATTGAGCGAGCAATTCTGTTTCCTTCAAATCCTAAAGTTTTAAAGATGTAGGAAGATACGAGACCCTAAACGACGACAGCTTCGTATACTTAGATGTCGGAGATTGCCTACTTTTAGGCGGTCACTTTTATCAGCGTTGTTTTTCCCCTTACTCTGACGAAATACCCGAACGATCACGTTCATGGGTCTAAATAAAGCTATTAAATTGAAATAAACGAAGGAAAAAAAGCGTCTAAAATTAATCAATCGTTTAATCTATATGGTACACACAGCAAATGTCCCTCCTCCTTATCGTATTTACGGAGAAAAAGTCCCTTTTTCAATAAAAGGGTATCTTTATCGGTAAGAAAGAAAAGAATAACGCGATCAAAAGGTCTGAACGATAAAATATCGCCCGTCGGCTACCAAAACACTTGCACCATAGCTATTCGTATTTCTACTCGTAACAAATCTATTTTTCGCTTTGAACTATGCTTAGTTCAATGTTGAAACCAGAGAAACGCGTAACTACTCATTTATGATTTGTTTTGACGAACAAGAAAACCAAGTTTTAGAATTCTAAATGTTGAAATATAATTTTAGACTTTTGTTATTCATCGGGTTTTCTATTTTTACGATTTAAAAGGAAGTTAGAGAAAATGGATTTTACTTACATTACCTACACACTAGAATATTCGTCCAACTTTTTGTCTACTTTTATCTACTTTTCCTCAAGTACTTCAACGTTGATTGCATTCACTACCATTCACGTGCTTAGTTACATCGAATCGGACCAAAATTATTGTTCAACGGCGGCATCCTGACGACAGGAACCTGCGCCATCTTCTTCGGTCTACTGGACAAGGTGAACGGCCATTATCCCTTTATAGTCCTTTCGTTCGTGATTAGAATCGTCGAGGCTATAGGAAATGCGGCGTTTCTCACCGCCAGCTTTGCCATTATCGCCAAGGAATTCCCGGATAGCGTCGCTACCACCTTTGCCAGCTTGGAGACATTTTTTGGCCTGGGTCTCATTGTCGGGCCAACTGTTGGCGGTGCCCTTTATCAGGTAGACCAATGCGCTTCCAAATATTTTCGTATCGATCTACTGTTTTTCTTGAAATCCATTAAAGGTAGTACGTTGTGAATTATTCGAAGATGTTTGATCCTTTTTCCTCGGAATGATCGAGGTTAAGTAACATCTAGCGGTTCTAATTTAAAACAATGAACCTTTTACGATTTACTCGGAGAAAAAAGTGGAGCATACAGAACTTGTTTGTATGTTAGGATGTTAGACACTCTCTGTTTCGATATTTTGTTTTGTTTAACGAATGAGTACCATTGTAACGACTAATTGAATATCAGAATTTTCTCTTAATCGAAAAATTTAATAAATTTAATAGAATACGCGTGAATTATTAAATTGGATAATTAAAAATCGATATATGAATAAAGGGTATGTAATCTTTTTGTCAATATTTTCAATACAGGTCGGTGGATATACGACGCCATTTGTTGTCTTAGGATCAGCCCTCTTTACGACTGCAGTTATGACCATTTTTATTCTACCGGTTCACCCTAACAGCAGCGAAGCAACTCAAAGTACAGTAGGTAAGGTTTTAACAATAAATTATTATACAAGAAAAAATAGCAGAGATGCAGATAAATATTGTGAATTTAAAATATTTTTACAGGCGTGACGAAGGCGTTGAGAATTCCAGGCGTACTGATCGCCACATCATCCATAATCGCGACGAGCATGAGCATAGGATTTTTGCAAGCTACCCTTGAGCCACATTTAAGGCAATTTAACCTGAGCCCTATCGTTCTGGGCTTAATGTTTGTCATTAACGGTGGCACTTATGCCATTACCGCTCCTGCGTGGGGCTGGCTCTGCGATAAGCATTCACATCCAAAAGTAACTATCGAAATGTTGCACTAATTATTTATTAACCACCCTACTAATACTACTAGATCTTCACTAATTTAAATTCCTCGTTATTTCACGATTTTCTACGTCAACTTATCTCATTCGTAGTTTTCAATCCTATGTGATTTAATTTCAATTTGAATTAAATTTCCAGGTGGCCACCGTAGCTGGATGCATTCTCGTGGTCGTAGGATTTTGTTTAGTAGGTCCAGCACCTTTCATACCGTGTTCGACTACGCTTTGGATGACAATTTGTGGTCTGGTAGTTCACGGTTTAGGCATGGCTGCACAGCTGGTTGCCAGTTTCACGGATGCATTGAGGACATCGATGTACGTTAACATAACAAATTATTAATTCTCTATCTAGTCTGCTTGCGTTTAGATATATTTATAGCTATTTTTAATAATGGACATTAACCCTACATAGCTGAACTCTTTCTTATGCGTAAAGAACCACGATTAAAGTTCTGCGTTTAGAAAGAATTTTAGAATACGCAAATTTAAAAATGTAAACTCAAGTGCTTGCAACCTTGAAATTGAAAAGGGAGTTGCGAAAAATAAATTGAGATTAGTAAAAAGTGTTAGAATCGACAAATTAGTGATGAGTTACGTGTATTAAGATTTGTAGTTCAAGTTTTTAGCACTGAACAGAAATTATAACTACTTCATTGTGGCTTGACTACTGAAAATAATGTTTGTAATGTTTAGACAATACGGATTTTCAAATAATCTGGAGACCTACGGCCTAATCAGTGGACTATGGACCAGCACGTTTGCTCTTGGAGCATTTATTGGTCCGAGCGTAGCAGGAATTTTATTGGACAATATTGGATTTCGAAATGCTACTATGTTCATCGTGTTTCTTCACATGCTTGTGGTAAGATATCGTTTCTCTAATGGCAACGATTAAATTTAAACCCTTCCTCTCTAGTAATAAAGATTAAATTTAAAACTCCCCCTAGCGACAAAAATTAATTTTGCAGTTTCTTAATCATTCGATAACGATCTCTCAAAGTTGAATTTTAATATCAATATTTGAGATCCTTGTGAAAAAAAAGTTCCAAATTCATCAAAATAATCGCACCAATCAAATTCCCATCAAATTCAACACTTAACGACACGTTCCAAGAAATTCTAAAGACACCCGATTGTTATACAGTCGGACCTTCATTACGATGTTGCGAACACAGAGCAGATTTCTGAGAAATAGGTCCCTGATGAAAAAGATAAAAATTGCGCGGCCTTGCCGGCCGGATTTACACTCTAAAAGGAAGAATGTGAACGAAAGTCGTAGAAAACGATTTCACTAGGTAGAATGATTTAGAATGACGCATCATTTGAAAGAGTGTGCGTATCTTTTCCCAAAGCGAACACATCTTAAAGATTTAAAGGCCAATTCCATTCTCTTGAAAATAAAAATATAGTATCTTAATACACCATGCATATCTTAATTGGCAATCGTAATCCTTACAGATTAAATATACAATTATATTCTGGAATATTTTTAACGTGTTCTCACTGTCTTATTCGATACGTTCCTTCCTTAAATTCGAAGGCAGAGATCACAGGTTTTATTTACCTATTATAAAAGATGGTCGCGATTCAAGAAAGGATAGAAAACATTGCCTTACAACGATCTTCAGATCGATTCTAAATAAAAATTCTCGGATTATCTTTCAGGGCGTGATGGCGGCAGTGTTCTTAAGCGTCTGCACACAAAGCCATAAACAATACACAGAGATCAGCGCGACGGAACACTTAAGGATACCGTTGACGGACAGCGAACGCTCGCGGAGCGGAAGTCATCGTCATGTTCGCGGTCAGGGAGTGCCGATCGATAGGCCCAGCGGCATGAACTCCCTGATCGTGTGCAACAGTTATTCGAACAGAGCCGGTGCTTGGTCCCGAGCATCGTACAGCGGCCGTTATTCCCATAGTTATGGTTCGATCGAGACGAAAAGGTATCTAGAGTTGACCACGTGATGGCTGCAGCCATTCAATGTGACACACGGATAGGAAAATCTCGGATAGGGTCGTGCCCGGCAGTATTGTCAAGCTTCGTGAGCCTAACTCAACGTTTGGGAAAACCTCTTCGGTCGTATTTACGAGGGTAGAAAGATTTATGGCGGGGTGCGTTTTGATTCTTTCTTTGCGTACCAGATAGTAACTAACGAGTAAAAATGGTAAAAAAGAAACGCAAGGTTATCGATCGACCGAGGAAGAAAATTATTGAAAAATGTTCGAATTGAAATAATTTTAATAATTGAAATAATTTTAATAATTGAAATAATTTTATACATTACCGGTCGAAACTTTGAAACTGATATGAGTTTTGCTATTTTAGAATACTTTTTGATAAAAATTGTACGCGGTAGAAATGGGTTCACGGTGTGAAATATAATTCTTATTTATTTAACTTGTGTTTATATGATAAATACATCGAATAGGATTAATTTGCTTGGTAAAAACTTTTTACTATTCTTATGCGAGTGAAACTGTCTTACGAATCCATCTAACTCGATTATTACATAATCTAAAAGAATTTATCGTCACAACGAAAGAGTCAAAAACATTTTTATCGAAGGATCGAATTTAGGATATGTCGTTTCTTTATGGGAAAGTAAAGAAAAAGAAAAAATAAACGCGCTTCTGCCTTTCGTCACTCGTCTCCAATTGAAGAAATGGCAGATTTGAAGGGATACTAGGGTTACTAAAGGCACAGATTTAGCCTCAGATGTCTCAAACAGTATTCTCAGGATGCAGATGCAGAACACATTTCTACGCTTTAAGTGTCAAGTGTAATCGATCGAGAACAGCTATTTTTAACGAATGAAACATTTTGAAAAGAAGTGAAATCACTTATATTTCACTGATAAATAAATCAATAGATTAGAAAATAATTATTTTCCTAACAAAGAATTTAATTTTTATCATCGTTAATGGACTTTTACTTGCAGTTAATAAGAGGCACGACCCTAAAACGGAAATCTCATGTACAAACAAAATCTTTTTGATAAAGAACAGCTTAATATCGACGAAAGTTTGTTGCTATCGAATTTTCGTCGCATCAAAATCATCAAAGACAAATTACGAAAGGATTGTACTTACATGCACTCGCGCATAATTTTAATTGTTATCGCTATCAATGTACTTCGTCGATGATATCTTTTCGATTATGTTAGATATCATGGAGTAATTATATTTCAACGTATCTTTAATAAAAACAACATTTTTATTTAATATTCTCTGGTATCGCTGTAATTAATGAATCCTCTACTTAACATAAAACGTTGAGTTTCATAAAAAGTAGCCGTTCACGCAACTCGAGTCGTGACTTACATTCAACATAGATTTTCACTCTCGATCGCGAGTAACGTGTCGCGTTTTCTACATACCCTTAAAATTCCAAGGCATTTGCGCATTCGCGACACACCCACGCACGTATGTGAATTCTTTTGGAACAATAGCGATCCTGGTCTGACGCCGCTTGCGCGACGCTGCGTGCACGTGCATGTGCAACGACACCCATGGAAATCGATAGTTTCTCTGTCGATGATTCACCTTACCGGCACTGGTCATCCAGAGTTCCAAGTAAAACTAGTTCCCTGTTCTCGTCTTATTTTACTTTTACAACTAAATTGAAAACTTATTATAGATAATGCTTTACAAAACGATATTGTTACGTAATCAGTTACATTAAACAGCGTTTCCTTGCTATCGAATATATTTATAGAAGTCAAAATATTTTGTGTTTCATTCTATTGAATAATATACTCTCGGTACAGTGATACATTTCCAAATATAACTTCATAGACAGACATTTCTTTTAGCCAGGTTTTAAGCCACTTCTACATTTTTAAACCACTTACATAATGATGTTACCTTGCTCGATGACTACCAACCTTTGATGTATATCTACATGATGTTACATATCTGTGGTATACAGATTTTTTTTTTATTTGGTAGAATTTTACAATCAATTCTCATTGAGAATTATAAGTAAATTATTCTGGCGTGGTACTACAGCTTGGATAATAAGTGTTTATCGTATGTTTGATTCTAGTTGAATCTAATGCTTAAATCTAAAGGGTAATGTCCTTTTAGTCTGCGGATCTGATCCGTCGTGTCAAGTAATTGGCTCACTAATGGGTTTTGGTGGATGTTAACTCTTATGTTATATCTGTTACTGAATTTGGATATTTCTTCTTTAACTGTAGGTATCTTAATTGTATACAGATGATTACAATTAAATCGACACGGCGAAAAGGAAAGTAATGTTTCTACCTAATAATAGAAATCGATATTAATTTTCTCAAAAACGACCAAAACTAATTTTCTTCTTCTAATCTAACTTTGACAGGTTTGATAGCTTTGTTTTAAGTGTCGACAAGATACATACGATTCTTGATCGACAGTAATTTTATCCAATGTTCAAAGTCTACTGTACTGGATCCACGCTGCTATTATCGAAGCGTATGCACCGGTAGTTTCTGATTTAAGACGACAGCGAACGCGTCGCGTCCCGCTACTTCCGGTTCGACGTCCGATAACTCGATCGTAAATTTCGCCAGCGAGTCACCCCCGCGCGAATTCGCAGCTCGTAAAGCAACACGTACGCGTGTTATAATCGTGACTGTATTCCCTGCTATGTATTCCACTCGGTTCTGTTTTGTTCTCTTCCATTCGCCGGTGTGCATCGACTTGCCCGGAAATTACTCTGTTCTCCGCGTGACGCGGCATTTCTCCCGAGGCACGTGCGAATTTATTCCGCCATTAAATATTGCAGACGCTCGTTGAATCGTGTGTCACGATTCTGTCACCGATCTGTCACCAAGTTCTATCCAAGTTTAGTCTGGTAAACTGCTCTACCACGTTAGGAGATAAACGTGGAAGTAATAAACGTGGAAGTGATAAGCGATGAACGCTGAGAGATTGATAAGACGAGAAAGGAATGTCAAAGAAAACGGTAGATACAAATTAGAAAAGACGAATTAACAGACGCGAACAGAAGGAGGGTTTGAAGACGATGGACGCTGTACGAGGCGATCGTAATTATTTTTTCAACACACAAACGAGCACGAAAGCGAACCGAAGGTACGAAAGGAAGAGGAGTGAATTATTAACGTACGGTGAGGTCAACGATGTGCATCCAACTGTCCGTTGATGCAGCTTAGTCCCTTTTCCTCTCGGTTTCTTCTCCTTTCCCCTCGCCTTTTTCAACGAACAAATGCGAAATTCTTCCAGATAGAACGTATCGTCTAGGAATCGAGGAAGAAGCAGCACGGTCGAGGGCACAGCTACTGAGATAATCATCTGATCGATGATTCTTTTTTCTCTTTCCTTTGTTTGCACATTTGTAACCACACGGTTTCCTCGACTTTGATATTTATTATATCATTGGCGTTAAGAGTATCAGAATTTCCTCCAATCGATACTACTCTCGTGTAAATGCTCTTTTAATACACCTCTTTATAACTTCGAAACCTTTTTCACATCTTACAAACAATTGCTAAAATATAATCTATTTTACTATTATACTTTTATTTTAATTGCCTATTTATATAGGCAATTAAATATTATTATATATATTTATATATATTTCTATCATTCTCGTATTAGCATAATGAATTCGTTAGCCAAGCACAATTAAAGTTAATGGTAGCGACTTTATGTAATCAGACGTTACACGCTGTCCAACAGTGAAATAATTACGTAAGCATCGACAAAATGTTTCGAAAATTTATAACGACGATCATGAGCTCGCGTATACGGGGAAAGCTAGCGACAAAAGTACGAATTTATTGTTCCATTATGTCCAATATATATCGTCCAATTATGTCTGAAAATATATTACTATTACGCTTAACCACGTAATTACCGGGCGGACGCAAACGAAACGTAATGGGCCGTACGATTAACTTGCGTAATGCGAAGAAAAATTTGCAAAAAAAGTGAATGATTTACGCAAACTATGTAACAGTTCTGAGTTTTTCTTGGAACAACGTAGAACATTTCCATGTTACCGTTTAATTCCTTATTCATCGACTTTTTATTTAGAATGAAAAACAAAAGTGGCGCCGCATAAGAGAAAATTGCTGGCAGAATTCAACACCGAGGAGTATGTTTGTCTCTGCTCAGTGAATTGGAACTTTTATGAGAACTGTTCAAAAGATTTATTATAGTGGAGATTACACCGAGTATTGGGTGTTTTAATCGCATTAAAAACCGCTTTATGATTTATATTATTTTACTGAAATTAAAGAATAATCTTGACGATAACTTCTCATACGATGATCGTATCGATTCTTCGTAGCAACATTTTCATTAAAATATCGAAGAATCAAGTTCTTCAAGACCCGAGAAACTAGAAATCATAAACAAGCGGAAGAGATCATTCATACGCCAATGCGGCGCCAGGATTAGGCGAACGAGAATACCCACAGGTGAATAGTGTTCAAGATGAAAAGGAACAGGTTCACGAAGGGGGTTGGCCGGTAATCCTGTACGTCTTCGATAATAATTTTGAGTGCTCCGGAGATTATTATACACTGTACACTGTACTAGTTTCAAGGGACACTTCCAAATTACACCTCGAGATAATAAATTATGAAAGGAAAACGTAATAAAATCGCTGCCAGGATGTCTCGATGTCGTGATGTATAGAATATCGTATAAAAAAAGAGCGGAAATAATTACATAAGACATTGCAAGGATAGTAATTGAACTTCAAAATTACATAGTAATTTCGAGTAAACATATTTCAATATACTTCATTATGTAAACAATATATTTGTTTTTACGTTAAGTCGCATCTGATTCATAATAGATAATTTGTTAGAAGATTGTGCAATAGATAATATTCATATATTCAGCTTAATTGCACTTTATATATGTAAACTGCCACTTTAGAAACAAATTGTAGCATATGGAAGTTGAATTGAATCTCTATCGACGCTCTAACCTTTTGAAAGATACGAACACATATGAGAAAACCTAATACATATTCCTTCGATTCAAGCGTTATTTCAAAAAATACAAAACTGTAATGTACGAGCATTACACTTTTCAGAGATTTCAAAATATGTTCCAAGTATTGTCTACCCCGTTTAATATCTGCAACTATATTTTAGATAAAAACGACCGAGAGATAAGAAACTCCTTTTTAGCTTTGATGAGTTCGTTCCAAAAAGAGTTAAACCCTCGGAACAATAGAAATAAATGAAATAAAATAAATAAAGAATCACGAATAAAATTAGACCAAAGGAACATGAATCGTGAAATCCACCTTCTGCAATTTCCCAAAAAATTCAAATAAATTCCACAGCTTGCACCATCGCAATTCACTGAATTCAACGTAGAAACCCTGCTTATTGAAAAAAAAATCCCTTCTTACGCCACTGTAATAAACACCGGCTGAATCGGGTGTCAGATGAGGTGCTGCCACCTGAGCAGGAAAATCCGCAGGTGGACGAATCGGGTGTGCATGGGACGTCGTGAAAACAAGCAGGTCCACGTAAGAGGGTTGCCGGTTGGTTTCCCCACCATGAGACCCAATTCACCATGGTGGGGGTTTCTCGACGCATGCGCACGGTGTCCTGGGTCCTGTGACCGAGAGCAGCGGCCAGTTCGGGGGCCCAAAGTCTGTTTCCATCGCGAGGGAAGGCCTCGGATCGCGCTCGTCTCGTCAGCGTCCGGTCAGTCCGTGTTTTCCCGCGTTTCTTTCGTCACGTCGCGATTTTTCACCCCGAAATTGGTCGTCGTAAACTGCTCGCGCGAGTGTACACGTGATCCAAAGGATATCAGAGAGACATTCACGGTGAAACTTGTTCAATACGTTTCAAAGGATCCAGAAACGATCGTTGTGTTTACCAGTGTGCCAAGTGTCATGGGGATCTAGGAACGCCGGCGAGGGTGAGTCTGTTCGCGCTACTGGAAATTTTGCGTTCTACGATAAATTCTCGGATACTTTGCAATTGAGATTGAGAATGTTTAACGAGTGATTGATATTGGTGATCGTTGATTTTATTGGAACAGGAAGACGTGTGTTTTTCTGTCATGTTGAAGGTAGATCCTTTGAGAAAAATCAGTCGTGGTACAAGTTGGTCGATGTATGTACATATATGCATTAATTATAGGGATGTTCGTATCAGATAGTAGGCTGAGAGTAGGTGTTGCCGTTATGCTCGTAACAGCAGGCACCCTACGGAAACGAGTTAAGGTCTAGGAATTAATTTCATTGAGTTCCCTGCTGCAAATGAGTTGCGCTGTAACAAAGAAAGTGGCTGGCAGGAGCACTGACCGGTTATTCGAATGCACGATACGGTGATAAAGTCGACGATCTTTCGCTTCTAAACGCCCTTTGTTCAGTCTGTGTTGCATAAAAATGCAAAGTGCGTTAGATGAACAGACTATATAGAGACGTAGAAGTCTCTTTACACGGAATGATTATAGCGTGGCTAAAAATAGACAGTCTCGTGTCATGGAAAATCTTAATTAGGGTCGTAATGTCAAACCAAACGATGCGAGTTACTGTTGCGATTAGTATTTATAAGAAAATCGGAAAGCTGTTGGAGACAATTTTCTCTCTCGCGATAGTTTTAATGATACTTCAAATCTAATAATTGTCTGCATAATTACACTACGTGGTCTGATAATCGTAAGTTCCATTTAATTAGTTGTTATAGTAAGATTTTAAAAAGATCCTAACCATATAAATTAATATCACGAAGCTCGTAAACTTAAATAATTAAAGAACATTTTTTTAAAGCAATACATAGGAATGTAACAAAAATAGGAGATGTTCTTAAACGTTACTATTTCCCCAGTAATTTAATTTAAGAGGTCTATAAAATTTACTTTCAAGCTTACCGGGCGTCATCATCTGGCCTTAAATAACTGCTTATAAACCTCTCCAATGATCAACGATCCAAGACGACTCTTACTACTTCCTTAAGATTCTCAAGGACACTTGAAGTAGAATTTCAAGATATAGAACAGATGCCGAAGATCATTTCAATTACATTTCAAGATTGTTTCATTGATCTTTCCAACGTTAATGAACAAGTTCAATGACAAATCAATGAAATTGTCCGTATTGTTCGATAAACAGCTATGACGAAGTTACGACTTTGCATGGGTTAGGCAGACGATCGGATGATCGGTTAGGACATTTGAAATTGTGATTCCAGGCGTGTCCGGGAAGGGGAGGTTAGGCCGAACGGACGGACGTGTTCCTTTCTACGTGCGCGTCTGTACAGATGGAGTCATGCTAGGCTAATACGTCGAACGAATGCGTCGCGGCTAGATGGTGGAATCTTAAGTGTCTTCTAAGTGTCCTGAGATCTCTTTCGTAGGATAAAGAACCCAAGAGTGCATAGACTCTAGAGAAATTATCGTATGTGTGCCATGGCTAGGGGAAGCAATTACCGGAATCGGATGCTTATATGTTCTTATACTTTCTTCGATTCGCTTCATTTGTTCGAATGGGTAGAATTTTTGGACGGCGGAAACATTTACGTAATTTTCTCGTTTTGAACTCGAGAGCGTGTATATGAAATTTTTAGAGATATTTGCAAAAGTTGTATAATACTTGATCCTGTTGAATTCTTTCAGCTATTTCCGATTCAATCGCATGTTTCTATGGCTAAAATGTTTCTTTAAATTTGAAGATAAAACAGAGGAATCGTTATTGATACGTGTAATCTCACGTAATCTCTGCATAAAATGTTCTCAAAACGTTAATAGTTTTTATCTGCCGAAACAGGAGTGAGATCGAGGCTTAGAAAATTCGAGAAATACAACGCGGTTAATGACGTTGCCAATTTCCTTAGAGAAGTTTCAGTAGATTTTAGGCTAATTTAGAAAAAGCTTTTTTTGGCTATTGACAGTTATACCCATTAAGTAGAGTCTAAATCGATGGCAATTAGCGGGAAGTCAAGATTTTCTTAAATATTGGTAATTATCTGCTTGTAAATGAATCCCAGGTACGGCGTAATTCGTTGAAAATTAAGATTTTCTTGGCTATGGTAATTATCTGTCAGAGTGAGTTGTAAGTTGTTGCTCAGTTTCTACATTATCTTTATATATATCCCTATGTACAGATCTACGTGTATAGTAGATACGCGCAGTAAATTCAACTTGAATATCTTATCAGAAGGAAAGGATAATTTTCACATGAAATTGGTCGACGAGATGAATTTAAATATTCCACTTCTATAAAAGATAGGAAATATATCTTATCGTATTTGGTATCTGTGATCTTCGTAATACAGAAATCAATCAAAAATTGATCCATCTTGTCTCACTGCATGTTCCAACCACCCACTGAATATCCGTCGCACTATATCACGAGGCGATCCTGCAGAAACAAAAATTTCCTCGCCATTCACGCCGACACCATTATTCATCAATCGTGTTCCTGGCGAAATTTCGCCAGGCTTTGGACTCGAGGCCGGTCCGTGGCTCGCTCAATCGTTTCCATGTGTTTTGCATATGAGATCGAAAGTGTATACGTGGTGCACACGGAACGTGGGGAAACGCTTTGTCGTATTGGTGGAGTGCACGTGTGTGTAGAGTAGCCATGAAATGCAGTCGAACCGGCTGTAGAAGACGCGTGCATCGTGGCCCAGGCAGAGCTGTGAGCTTCGTGGGTCCAGTGTTCACGGGACACGCTGGTTGCGGATTTTTTAAAGATCTTCCTTGTTACGGATCGGAAACGGGGGTTCGAACGTAAATAAAAGATCCGCGGTTCGCCTTGATGTCTGAAATTCCATCGACCTCCACGTTAACTCGCGCGCGCGAGTCTCACATGGTGAAAAGGCTTTCGTCGAATTCATTAGGAAAAGGAAATACCCTGACGAATCTGTGGTTTGCTCACGATGTTTGCGCTTCTCCTTCTTTTCCGTTTATTCCAAGCCTTTTTAATTATTCTTCTTGGTTCCTTGAAAATGATTTTGACTCTTAAAGAAATGTCATTGAAGCAGCTTCTCGTCTTAAAAATAACCACTGTTTCCAACAAAATCTCTCGTTCGACCGATTTCTCAACTTTTCAACGAATTCTACCTCTAACGAAACTCTACCGAACCAATTCTTCGAATAAAAGCTAAAAGTTTCGAACGATTCGCTTTACACACATACGTAAGACGGCTGTCTTTATGCGTTGTTTTGTAGTACGGTCGAAACGCCACGAAGCAGCAAAGAAAACGAGAAGAGAAGAGAGTGAAAAGAAAGAAAGAAAGAAGAGAACGAACCGACTAAGAAAGGCGACGTAGGAAAGTCGTTGCACTGCGAACAGCTCAAGATCCATGATGCTGCGCCACGCGGCGAACAATGGACTCTGACGTCACTTCGAGGCTACACCTGCGGCGCTACACTTGTATGTGCAACGAGCCACCGACAAACCACCCCGCGGTGCGTGCTCCGATTCACAGCGGCCTGTTCGATTTCAAAACGGCCACCGGATCGAAAATAGCTGGCTACGTGCGTATGTGCCTTGCCACGGTTATGCTTCGCTGTTTATCGAACACCGCGAGTAATACGAGCTCCGTTCTTGCCTCGAAGGAGAAAACGAGACTCGATCTCACAATCCTAGAACGTTACGATCGGTCTCTCGAGATGTTAGAAACGAAGATTTTAATTGTACGTAGATTTTTTAACGGTGTAAGCGGAGAATTCAATTTTAGGTCTTTTTGATATGAGAAGTTGAAATTCTAATTACCTAAAAAGGTACTCGAACGTTAATTTTCACAAATACAATACGAATAATTCTTCAACGGGAACTGTAAATGGAAAATGTACGAAGAAACCCTTCGTGTTTGCTTGTTTTCTTTCCTCGAAAATAAGCATCCATTATATCGATCCAGAACGATTTACGGTACACTTTTGCAAGTGAAGCAATCAAACTTCATTTCGTCCGTTACGTTGGCTAAAAGAGTGAACCGACTTTCGTCCGTACGCTAACGAGGAAAATCATTTCTGTGGGGACTTTCATAACGATGAAACGATTTCAACGAATATAATGATCGGTCACAATCGTGGCTCGTACCGTTCGATTATGTAAAAGTTCGTATAAAGACCGTGTCGAATTGTGATCTGTGCGCCACGAAACGTGTTCCATACGCAATACTATTTACGTAAGCACGCACATACGACGATCAATCGCAAAAGGAACATTTATTAACATCGATGCATCTGTAAATGGAAAGCGCCATCATCCAAACGCGTTGCACGTAATGTTTTATAATAAACGTTATCACGTTATGTCATGAGATAGTCGGTTGACGTGAATTATTTATAACTACGATAAACGTTTATTTTTCGTTAGAGATATTGCTAGTTACAAATGGTTACGGATAAATTGTAATTTAAAATAAACGATTTTCATTTATTTTATGTAATATATGCACATATATGTGCATTTACAATTTCGACGATTATGTTGAGGGTATTCGATGTATAAACAGAGAAAACACGTGGATAAATTGTAAGGCAGAAAATATATTTAAATAGAAGTGTAATTATAAGTAAGAATACAATTTGAGTTGGTTCAGATCCACACGCTAGCTGTGTTACCCAATAACTGAAAATCCCAAAGCCAACGTCGCCTGTCTACCGTTTACGGTCTGTCTTCGTCGCAGTCTTTTGTTTACACGCTGTCGATGGCTTCGGTGCTTGAGAAAACTAAAAAGAGCAGATGTAGAGTTTTCTTAGAAGTGATGACCACTTCAACAGATTCGATAGACATCTCATTTTTTCTTTCATTTTTCACTCGAAAGACGTACATTTTTTAGTAATTTCAATCTCCTGTTCTTAGTAATACTTTTTGGAAGTAGAACAGAGAATATTTTTCAACTATTTTAATTTAAAAAGTTTAGTCTAATTTAATCTTGAAATTGTTTAAACGACCGCAATTT